AGCTTGGTCAAATCATAAATGATTAATCTATCAACATCAGAATTCAGAACTAATAAATTTTAATTTTATTTGGACCACATCTTCTTAATTGTTTGGTATGTTTAGCCTGTAAAACTGATAAATGGGCCTCAGAGAAATATGGGCTGGACATTTAGTACTTCTTTTCTAGGTCCACAAATATATTTAATTGTCCGATTTGTCCTTCAAATGAGTGGTTATTAAATTTTCCCCCTTACAAATCGAATGTATGCCTAGCATGTCACAAGTTCTTTAAGGGCGTGGGTGTATCTTGTGGATATTATGATGCGAAAGGATCAACTTTTTGTCCCCACGAAAAAATTATTTGCCTTGAGAGCAAAAATTAAAAACCAACCCAAAATAGGGGCAAAAGTGAAAATTTATCTGACCTATAAATGCAATTCAATTATTTATCAATCTTTCATACTATATGAATGCTCAAACAATAAGGTATCCAAGGATTTTTACGTCCAAGAAAAAAAATCAAAGTTTCCATCGCTAGGCACTAAAATGATGAAATTTTTACTTTTATAATGTGATCGTTATTGTATATACAAAATTTCAAACTTACGTTATCCAATCTTGTTCAAGATATGATTATGATTGAATATACAAAACTATCACCTTCTTTAGTCATATTTTTCGAATTTTCTTATGCGCTAAAAAACTTGATCTAAAATTACAAGATTAAATTAATGTGAATAGCAAATTGTACGTGGGATCTCTATGGTATTGAAACGGGATGGAGTGATTTTTTAAATGAATATTTTTGGGTAAAAAGACTTTCACAAGTGTATCGCGTTAATATCCCTATTATCTTTTTCATTTTTCTTTGAAATGAAAACCCATGGGGAACTTTCGCAAATAACCATTATAATAAACTTCATTATTCCCCATAGCTATAGTTTGCATATTTACAGGCTGTAGCTACAGTTTAAGTTGTCTCATTTGTATAATTCGCGGATTTGTATAATTCGCAGGTTTGTATAATTTGCGTGTACATTTGTATAATTTAATTATTTTTATATAAACTTGAAATAACTAATTTATACAATTACAAACAACAGAAGTGTAAACAGTTATACAAATTTTGAATTATACAAATTATATTATACAAATTCCGAATCATACAAATGTGTTAATTATACAAAATTAAAAAGATGAGCCGCGTGATTATAGCTAAAAGTAGGTAGCGAATTGTAATTAAGGTAAACTATAGTTATGTTAACTAATTAACTAGTATATGTTTGCTTATACACATAATTTTCCCAAAATGATATCATATTTTATGAGGAAAGCCGAAATCTCCTTGAAATTACTATAAGTAAAATCAAAGCCCAAAATATAATGGGCCTTGCATATATTGGAGCAAAATCTTGGACCATCAACCTATAACTACTCCATTAACACATATAATCATTGACAAAATAGCCACTTTAAACTCATGTAATTAAAACATAGTCATTGCCATGAAATTTTAAATTTTATAGTAAAATTTGATAACTTTGTCATGAAGTTTCATCTTGTACAATTTATAATTCAATGATAAAAATTATTTTTCAATTACAAGATTAAAAAGTGCTCAATGAACACTATTTCTCCCATAACTTTGATCTCTAATATAACGTGTTCAAACTCATTACTTATGTATCATTTATACATAGAATCAATGTTGATGTTTGTTTAGTTAATTATTATTACAAGCTACTTTTTAGTTTGTTTGCGTGCATCTTAATTAATATTGAATATCAAGCATGTTTCATTAGTACAAGTACATTATAATTGCTCACTAAGACATAAGGTAAATAAGAAGAAATTACATAACATTTTTATTTCTTTTGTAACATTCATTACTTACTTTGCCAATGGAAACTAGGATTTAAATCCCCATGACATCACGTATTGTCCGTTTTGACCTAATGAACCTCATAAATTTGTTTCTTGGTCTATACCATCATCAAACCTGAAAATACGTGAAACATATAAATTTTTGATGTAGGATTCATCGATGATGTCATATGCATCCCTTCTTCAAAAACTTGTCAGTCTAGAAGTATGTCGATCCTTCTCTTTAACCCTCCTTCCGTCACCACCGAGTGTTTGGCCTATAGAAGTACACCTATATACCCTTCTTGCCCATACAAATCCCTTGTGTATATTCTCATATCCCTATATGTACTTCCACCTAACAACAAAGCAAGCAAAACGTGTTGAAAACTTAACAATCAATGTGAGGAAAAAAATGCAACAACCTAAGATATTGTAATCATGTATTGTCTTCTATTTTTTATTTTTTAAAATATTATATGATTGACAAAACTCTCATAATTTGCATTACTTTCTTACAATGTATACCTACCATTTACCAACCCTTTAGGGGTTAGAGCTAATAGTAGAAGAATTCTAATGGTAAATAAGTTGCCTATTATCTCTATTGTCATTATGATCCATCATATTTTGGTATATGTTTGATGATCGATTAAATTTAAATTTGCATCGGTATAACACTCCCTAACAAAATAGAGTTCATACTCAAGGCTCAAACTCGAAAACTCTAATTAAAAAATATCATATTTTAATATATGGTAGTTAGTTTGGAAAACATCAATTAATAATTTTTTAATCTCCACAATTATCTATCAGAGCCAGCTATTCCCCTTAAAATACAAGTGATTTATTTTATACATTGAAATTAGTGTAATAATTTCATTATAACCACGATTTCTAAGATAAAACAACCTGATAAATTGTGATTTAATGGTGCAAGGTTGAGGAATCTCCATAAAAAAAAGAATTGCTCGGATGGTAAGCATCACTCGTGTAAAAAATTCTGAAACTCAGATAACAAACTCATCTTCCATTCGTGATGTGTGTCTAATTTCAAGTACAATCGCCTACCCAATATAATCTCAAAGGTAGAGTCTGAGGAGAATTAAGTATGTATAGATCTTATTCCTACCTCGTGGAAATAGAGAGGTTGCTTTCGATAGGTCAAAATTCGAAGTATGAGATTTTAATATTTCTTTTAATCCTCATAGAGAATTTCTGGCCATAGTTTTAGAAACAAAATGTGGATCTTATTTGTTCAATTTAGCTCTGTTGCTACTGTAAGTCTATAACAAATCCAGAGCTGCAAAATCTCTGCATAAAAATAAAACAAATAAAACACATAGGTGGTCTACATTGGAATTTTCATATATTCCTTTGTCCAGAGGTTACTCCCTCAATTTTTATGTCGATGGTTTTACTGGATACAAAGTTTAAGACGTTAATTTGACTTGTATAACATCAATAATTGATGTTATACAAGTCATAGGTGAAACGTCTCATTGATGTCTATTCTAACAAGATGGATATACATGAGAGATACAAAGCACCTGCCCCAAAAGATAACGTGGTCCGATACCCTTGCTAGATTCATTGTAACTCTCCTAACACCCAAGCATGTGGTCGATCAATTGAAGTGTGTGAATATCATGAGGGACTACACCGGTCAGAAAATAACCTTACTAACCTATAATGCATAGAGTAACTCTATACCTATGTTATGTTGATGAGAGGTAACAAGTTCTTGGTGAAACACTCGAGGGTGTACACAAGTTGGCACCGACACCATCATTATAGACTTGAAGCAAACACCATTGGTCCACATTAGATACCATGTGTCCCAATAGTTCAGAACTTTTCAAAACCATACAAGTGACAAGTTGTAGCCATGGAGGACCACTTGCTTCTAAAAGAAACACTTCCCAACATACAAATGACAAACGAATTATAGTGTCACAACTTGTAACACTATAGATGGTCAGCATTCAATCTTTTCAAACACACAATTCAATTGAAAAACTCTAGTCCTTACCTTTATCCTATTGAGCAAAAAGTAGTTTATACCTCTTCAAAAATGTCAGCGGATGTGCTCTAAAAGTAGTGTATTTTAGGAGAATCCAACACAGGTGCTGCAACGAAAGTGAAGAGTCCGCGCAACTTAGGTTTATACTTGGCTATCAATATCATTTCCCCTAGATTATCAGTCATAAAAATGCAGAAAATTACTCTTAATAAGACTAACATTAGCAGGCATTCATGGATCCAAACAGAGTTTTTGAACAAGTTCAAGTGTCTATATGAAAGTTCATGGAGATAAAGAACTGGAACAAAATTCCGTGCAAGCACGATTATCCATTTGCTCATTTATATACATGAAGATTAAGCACTTTACTGAACCATAATGCATCAACACACTGATATTATGACAAAACAAGTACTTGCATAATTCAACACAAAAGAAGAGCCATATTACCATGAACCAGTAGCAACTGCAGAAGATTCAAATGTAACAGGATTGGACATAAAGCTTCACATAACATTAGGAGAATCAGACTACAAACACTATGTTGCTCAGACTGTCGGAGCCTCCAAGAGTAGTGTATAACATAAGGAGAATCAGACCATAAACACTACGTTGCTCGGACTCTGTCGGATCCTCCAAGAGTAGTGTATAACATTAGGAGAATCAGACCACAACCACTACGTTGCTCAGACTCTGTCGGATCCTCCAAGAGTAGTGTATAAAATTAGGAGAATCAGACCACAAACACTACGTTGCAAGGGGACTCTGTCGGATCCTCCAAGAGTAGTTTATTTTTAGAGGCTCCGACAAAGGGCGTTGCAGCATTGTTCAGTCCGAGCAACATAGCATACTAGTCAGATTAACCTCAAAGCTGTTCACAGATACAAGGAAAAAATACCATCTATAACAAGGAAAAATGATATGATCAACAACTAGCATGAAAAGTTCCATTCTTTAAAGTGTTCATCAATAACCCCTTCAAAGATTGCAACTTTAAGGCAAATAACCCAACAATTCAATATATCAGTTGATGCAAAATGCACCAATTCTTTAATCCACATAAATATTTCAGCAAGGAACCAACTTTGAAGCCAAAAACACAAAGTTAGCACAAAGAACAAAAGTAAATATATCAGCAAGATAGCAACTTTGAGGCAAATACCCCAAACAATTCAATATATTAATTGGTGCAGAAAACACCAAAATTTTATACTTGTCACATAAATGTTTCAGCAAGACCCCCCACCCCCACCCCCAACATCCTAATACCTCAGCTAAGGTTCCTAAAAGATAACAACTAATCAAAATTCAACCTTCTCCCTATAACTTATTAGTAACAGAGACACCAAGTTTTCCAGCAACAATAACAGTAGTAGCCATATCAATAAACATGCCATGCTCAACAACACCAGCAAGTCTCAAAATTGCATCACTTGCATCTTTCAAATCACCCATATCCTTCTTGAAATACAAATCAATAATGTAATTACCATTATCAGTAACATAAGGCTCTTCACCTCCACTTCCACCTGCTGTTCTCAACTTCCCAACACATCCAGCTTCAATAAACAACATCTCAAGCCTCTTCAATGTAAACTCCCAACAAAAGGGCACAATCTCAACAGGCATAGCAAGTCCACTACCACCTATATAATTCACCAATTTTGACTCATCAACAATAACAATAAACTTCTTAGTAGCTGCCTCAACCATTTTTTCCCTAAGCAATGACCCTCCTCTCCCTTTAACCAAATTCATTTGAGGGTCAACTTCATCAGCACCATCAATTGCTAAATCAACAATAGGGTGTTTATTCAGATCTGATAAAGGGATACCAAGTGAAACAGCTTGTTCATGAGTAATCTTTGAAGTGGGAATCCCTACAATGTTCTTTAACTTACCACTATGTAAAAGCTCAGCTATTTTGTCAACAGCATGCTTTGCTGTAGACCCTGTACCTAAACCAACAACCATACCAGACTCAACAAACTCCACAGCTTTATAAGCAGCTACCTTTTTCAACTCATCTTGAGATAGAATAACAGGGGAAACAGAGGAAGATGATGACACCATCAATGAAGTGTCAACTTTTTTTGTACCAAAAAATTGAGGGTATGCAACAGCCATTGCTAAAACAACACAAAGATTGAGGAAAAATCAAGAATTCAAGATAAAGATTGAATCTTTAGCATAAAATTGTTAAAGGGGTTGGAGTATAATGAAGAATGAAACCATTAGAGTATATATATAAGATGAAAAATCAAGAATTGGAGGAATCTGAATAAAGGGGTTTTCTTTATTTTGAAAAAAAAATTATTATCAAGATTGGAATTTGTGGAGGGGGAGAAGATAATGTTATTTGGCGTTTGGTTTATTAGGGTTTATGGAGAATTTATAGGGAAATTGAGAGGAAAGGAAGGAAAGTGAAGGATTCGTGGGGAGAAAGAGGTGTGACAGAATACTTGAAGCAATAAACAACTAGCAACCATTCACAGATTTTTTTCTTTGATCTTTCTTATTATCTTGGATCTCCACTATATTTTGTGAGGCTCGTTTCGGGGCAACGCTTCCAACATGACTCGTTTTTAAAATTTTTATAAAATTTATATTTAGGGTTTAAATCTAAGACGTTTAATTAAAGTAGTGTTTGGCTATAAGTTTTTAATAATTTTGACAATTGATAAGTTTTAGCTGAAGTTTCACCATGTATTTCGTCATTTTGGAAAAAATTATTTGATTTAAAAATAATATGATTTATATCTATAAATTTATATTATCGTTTTATAATAAACTTGTTTCGTGAAAAGTCATGATAATGAACGCAATTTATATGAATCTAAAAAAGGAAGAAAAGAAAAGTAAAATTCGATTGATTTTGTATACGAAAAACTATTGCTATTACTATCTGTAATTGGAAGTGACATTGGAGAGCAAGTTCAAATTTTTTTTATATAAAATGTGTATATGAAAAAAAAAACAATAATTTTCTTGAACTTTAAACTATTTATTTATTTCGGATCATAATTTTTTTCAATGATTCACTTAATATGGACTAAGAGGAAATATTAATTTATGATACCAATTTCGAGTGCCACCGTCATATGTCTATAAAAATACTTTTACGTATTTGCTTAATAAAATGATCAAACCTACACATCAAGAAATATGCTAATTAATATAAGATTATTAAAAGCATCTTATCTCTAAGCATTTTATCTCCCATACAAATAAAGAAATAATCCAGTTCGTATATATATTATGCCTTACTTTTGATATTGGCCTCTGGTTTGAAATGAGAATTCTCTACTTTCACATGGTGTGATAGAGATTTTATATATATTATTTTCGAATTTAATATCTCGTATTTGAAAAATCACTTGCTCATTAACTAATTTGTGTTAGTTTCCTATATTTTTTTTGCCTTTCATTCTCTGTTTCACTAATTTATTATCCTATCTTATAAATTATTGTAGTGATTATCTTTAGTATCATAAGCAAAACATGTATGTATATATATATATATATATATATATATATATATATATATATATATATATATATATATATCTGCTTAAACAAAGTTTTCTTTTTTGGTATCAATGTCCGTGAAAAAAACAACTTTAAAATTTATTTATATGTTATTATTTGTTTTTTTTTTAGAATTTATTTTATTATAAAATCAAACTAATAAAAAGTATTGCTTTAAATATAAATAACGAGGAACCTGAAAAAAAGTAACCAATAAAAAAAAATATTGCTGATAAAAGTTATCAACACACTCAAAAAAATTGCGTATAATATATTGATACAAAATCATTGAAATTGACTATAGAAGCAGATTTGATTCTAAAGTGGGGACAATTATCTTTAGCATAGTTATAGAATTTTTCGAACCAACAATAAAATTATCTTTATACCATTAATACATTGTGGATTTGAGCTACAATAAATATAAAAACAATTATTAATATTTATATTAAAATATATTATCTACAATAAGATGCAATGTTTCTTTGTAAGCTGCTAATATTTGATGCTTTATACATCGAATTGTTATAATTGTACAAATTTTATTTTATAATCATGTAACAAGAAGTTTTCTGTCTTTTTTTCCTATTTAATGGGGAAATGTGAAAAGAATCCATAATATAGAGATTAATTACCTCTAATATTAAATATTAATAATACTTAGTACTTATAGTAGTGCAGGAAACAAGGCATGCATCTTGCTTTTCGTTCAATTCTCCGCATATGTACCAAAAATATCTATAATGAAATAATTAAGATTTCTCGACTCTTCATCAAAAATTTCGAATTTGATTTCAGAAATAAAAAATCTTTTGGTAGAAAGTGTTTAGTATTTCCCTTAATTAATGAACGTATCTAGTGTAAGTTCAAGAGCAAACTAGTAATTTTGACTTTTTTACTTTTAATTTTAAGTATAAAGTTTAAGGTTTAACAATAAAAAAATTCTTCGATATGAAGCTAACACAAATTCAAAATAATCTGAAAGAAAGGTAGTTTGTTGTTTTATGGGTAGCAATTACTAGCAACATTATGTGGGAAGTCTAGTTTTGCTTTTGGACATTGAAGGGATTATTCTATGGATATTCTAATCCATTTTGTAATGAAATTAGTGTCATTATTTGACTCTAAATTAATTCTCTCCATAATTCATGGAGAGGCGCTAGTGATTCATTCCAACTTTTTTAGCTGAAATATTATATTGTATATATAAAATATGGAAATGAAATTCATGTAGTCCACATACTTTTCATAATTTTCATGTGTTTTCTTATGAAGAGAAGTGTGTCAAACTTTGAAAATGGTGGAGTAAACGTGTTTTTCTATTTTTAATTCAGATATTAGAGTTCACCATATGAATTAACTAATCAAACGATAAACTAAATATCTTCGAAGTCAAACATACTTCCTTGTTCTAGGTAAAATCTTTGTATTTGGACAAGAACTCAAATGCCATCTTGAATTAAAATAGAGTGTTTGACCATTCCAATATAATTCAAAGTCTTATTTGCCTAGTCAAATGGTCTTCTCTATTTCCATTTATTTGTTTGCTTTAAAAGAAGAAAAATCATTTTCTAACTTTTGATTTGGATAAGTTTCAATTCAAGTCCTATAAATTTTAGTAAAAGTTTAGTTCTTGGTCCAAAGAACCCAATGTCCAGTTGATAAAATGGACCTTGAGTTGTCATTTTACACCCCCAAACTTCCGTTAAATGCACTTTTATCCCTCTTAGTCAAATACACCTTTTTCACATGTTTAAATATAGGATTTGGAAGATTAGAGAAGAATATTTATTGCCCAACTACCCAAATGTATGTCTTGTAAGTGCAAATCTAATTATTTGTAATCTTATTTTCTTAGTATATACTTCATATTTTTCTTTAAGTAGTTATCAACTTATACGCATTTCAACTATTTTATCATAAAGATGGGGGAGTGATTTATTAATTATTTATTGTGAGAAAGTGAGAGTAGGAAAATCTGAATCATTTCCGTTAACGACAAGGATACATATGAACTAAATTATTAACGGAGGTCAAATTTGGACCATTTTAGACTATGAAAGTGAGTTTAATCAAGTGAATGTTGTTGAAAAAACTCAAAAACAATGGCAGGAACGAAAATGGATAGTTCTAACTTCATAAAACATTATGTTAGTTTTAAGACATTGATATTTCAAACTTCAGAAAGACATATTTGAAGTCCGTCCTCAATAAATCAAACTTCAAACATGTATATCGGAAGTTTGGTCTTGATAAGCCAATCTTTTAATGAGTATGTTAGAAATTTACTTCGACAAGCAATATGTCAAACTTCAAATGTGAATTTTGCAACTTTTGTCTGAAGTCATAGCCCAGCAATTGGATCCAGTCAAAGCCCAATGAAATATTGATACACTAAGGCCCATTGGGTCATCACTAATCATACCCAGACAGGCCCAATAGGCTACTTGAAATAATATCACATTATTTTTCATCAATTTCTTCATAATTATTCGTTTCATATTTCCTTACAACTAAAAAAAGAAGAAGTGATCAACAACAACAAGTCCGCACCTTAGTCCCAACATGTTGGGGGTAGGCTATATGAATCCTCACTGACGATGTTATTACTAGACATATTTTGACATACTGATCAAATTATTTGTCAATCAATTCAAAATAAATATAACACTATTCTATGTGCCAAAGGTTATTGTGCTAAATGAATTATTAGTTCCAGGATCTTGATTATGTTCAAAAAGAAATATTTCAATTTTCCCGATAGAGAAATAGAAACATATACGTGTATCGCGTGTGAAATACGTCTACAACAAGTTCTGTATAAGTTCTTAGCTTTGACATTTAGTGTACCCTAGGCGAATTTAGAAATTTTGACCTTAAGGGTGTTCAAAATTACTTTTAAAGGTCATGGTATATATCTATGAAAAATAGCATTTGACCTACATACATGGTGTGTTCAACTGACCACTCTTCGACATACATATAGCTTCCTCCTGCTACATGACACAAATTCAAATTAGTCAACCAATTGATTTCCGAAAAAAATATATAATGTCTTCTATGCAACATAGAGAAGCAAAAAGAAGTTAAAAAAAGATATGAATGTATTGGAACTAAGAAACGTAGTAAACTTACATTAATCAACATCAAGAGCAAGTGTGTCAGATACTTCAAACGCTATGCATTTTTGGAAGATCCTATACAGATGTGACAGTATTTTTGGAGAGTCCGAGCAATATACAACTGTGCATGAAATTAATCTCAGAGAAAAGTGAACAACTTAAAGTAAACAACAACGTACAATGACAGTGAAAAAAGTGTTGAGGCTTCACGTACTGCATAGCCTCTCAAGCTAGCAATGGCTCCCAACAACACTGCACTCGGCGTTGTATACTGCAACAACAACACGAACGTATACATATGATCACCCTCGAGAAGAAAATTCATCCAATCAGCCAATGTAACGACTCCAATCCCCAACAGAGGAAGCACGAAAAGCCTAGCAATCGAGTGTTCTGTTTCTTTGTCCTTAAGGCCTAGCCACTCTGCTTCAACTAAAAGAGGCATACTAACCTCGTCCTCCTTTTCATCGATAACCTTATAGTATCTCCATCATATGATTAACGAGTATATAAACAAGAATCACCGCGATACATTAGGCAAAAGAAACATAAGCAACTCTATTCCTTTTACAATTAGGTTGATCCATACTATGAGCCAACTATAGCTAAGGGAAGATTGCTCGTGTTATCAAACGCGGTCATGATGATAATCAATTGAGTAAATTCTTAAGGGGACGACATATAATCACTACTAAAACACCTAAAACAAAGCCTATAATCGTACTTAACAACACGTTAACAAGTATAAACCACCAATGCACGAAATTATCAAGTGTAATCGATTGTCCTAAGTGAGTGAAGATCAAACATGGCAAGATAAGTGCAAAGACAAGTTTGC